ATTTCTGACGGGCTGAAGTCCCATTTGGATTGGTCTGGGTAGGTGAGAAGACCCTCAATCTTCACTGCCATAAAGAAGGATTGGGGTGATGACTCTATCAAAGATTCTAAGCCAGACTCTTCCCGGAGGTTGAAGGTGATACAGCCGTCTCCTGATGGCGTAGAGGTTCTCATGCCTTGTCTTTCAGGGACTCAATGGCTGGCTTGAAATTCTGTGTGTCCCCTCCCCCTCTCTCTCCTCCCCCTCTCCTCCTCCCCCTCTCTCCTCCTCCCCCCCTCTCTCCTCCTCTCTTCTCCCCCTTCCCTCTCTCCTCCTCCTCTCTCTCCCTCCTCTTCTGTCCCTTCTCTGTCTCTCTCCCTCCCTCCCTCTCTCCCCCTCTCTCTCCTCTCCCCTCTTTCTCCCCCTCTCTTCACCCTCCCCCCCCCCCACCCTCTCTCTCCTCTCGCTCTTTCACTCCTCTCTCTCTCCCCCTTCTCTCTCTCTTCTCCCTCTCTCTCCCCCCTTCTCACTCTCTCTCCCCCCCCTTCTCCCTCCCCCCTTCTCTCTCTCTCTCTCCCCCTCTCTCTCTCCCCCCTCTCCCCCCCTCTCGACTCTCCCCCTCTCTCCACCCCCTCACTCTCCCCCCCTCACTCTCCCCTCACTCTCCCCCCTCACTCTCCCCCTCTCTCCCCTCCTCTCCCCTCTCTCCCCCCTCTCCCTCCCTCCTCTCTCTCTCTCCCTCTCTTCTCTCCCTCCGCCCTCTTCTCTCCCTCTCCCCCCTCTCTTCACTCCCTCTCCCCCTCTCTTCTCTCCCTCTCCCCCTCTCTCCTCCCTCCCCCTCTTCTCTCTCATTCCCTCCCCCTCTTCTCTCTCCTCCCTCCCCCTCTTCTCTCTCCTCCCTCCCCCTCTTCTCTCTCCTCCCTCCCCCTCTTCTCTCTCCTCCCTCCCCCTCTTCTCTCTCCTCCCTCCCCCTCTTCTCTCCTCCCCCCTCTCTCCCTCTCCCCTCTCCCCCCCCTCTCCCCTCTCTTCTCTCTCTCCCCCTCTCTCTCTCTCCCTCTCTTCTCTCTTCTCCCCCCCCGAGGTGCAGAGCAGCAGCAGACATGCCTCCTTCTTCCCTCCTCCTGTATATATCTCATTATACAGGCTGTCAATCAAGGGCGTGGCCTCAATATTGCGGAGAGGATTGCTGATGGCAGGCTGCTCTTCTACCAGCCACACTACACACCAATGGCTTGCGCTCTTCTTCTTTATTACATTTTATCTTCTATTTTTTGTTTGCTTTTTGCAGGTTTCCAGCCACTTTCACTCTGATATTTCCTCTCCTTCTCTTGATGTAGAGTGGAGATCCAATCGATATAGAATTTGAGGTGAAAGCAGAAGAAGAAGAGGCGTATGTGAGGGATGATCAGCAGTCTATGGAGGAGGATGGAATAACGGGGACATTTATAGAGGAGGACACTCCTACAGAGATCAGCACAGGTGGGTCATGAACCTCACTTTGTCTCCAGACTGGAAAGTAGAAGTGAGGACATCACACAGTATAGTCCAGGAGAAAACCCGGCTCCCTCCAATGTCCATCCGGCACCACCCAGTGTAGATGGACCATCGGATTCCTCGTATCCTGAGGAACCTCAGACTGTGCGGGACCGGGCCGACCTTCCAACAGGGAAGAGCTTGTCCTGTACTGAGTGCGGGAAATGTTTCCAATATAAAATCCCGTCTTAATGTGCATATCAGATCTCACACGGGAGAGAAGCCGTATTCCTGTCCTGAGTGCGGGAAATGTTTCCAATATAAATCCAATCTTAATGTGCATAAAAGATCTCACACGGGGAGAAGCCATATTCCTGTCCTGAGTGCGGGAAATGTTTTGTAGAAAAAATCAACACTTATCATACATCAGAGTCTCACACGGGGGAGAAGCCGTATTCCTGTCACTGAGTGTGGGAAATGTTTTTCAAAAGAAGTCCTATCTTCACTCACATCAAAGATCTCACACGGGGGAGAAGCCGTATTCCTGTCCTGAGTGCGGGAAATGTTTTTCACAGAAGTCTCATCTTTACTCACATCAGAAGATCTCACACGGGGGAGAAGCCATATTCCTGTCCTGAGTGGGAAAGTGTTTTCAGATAAGTCCAGTGTCTTACACACATCAAAGAGATCTCACACGGGGGAGAAGCCGTATTCCTGTCCTGAGTGCGGGAAATGTTTTTCCAATATAAATCCAATCTTATTGACATAGAAGATCTCACACGGGGGAGAAGCCGTATTCCTGTCCTGAGTGCGGGAAATTTTTTGTAGAAAAATCAACATCTTATCATACATCAGAGATCTCACACAGGGGAGAAGCCATATTCCTGTCCTGAGTGCGGAAAATGTTTTTCAAAGAAGTCCCATCTTTCACTCACATCAAAGATCTCACACGGGGGAGAAGCCGTATTCCTGTCCTGAGTGCGGGAAATGTTTTCAATATAAATCCAATCTTATCACAAGCATAGAAGATCTCACACGGGGGAGAAGCCGTATTCCTGTCCTGAGTGCGGGAAATGTTTTTGTAGAAAAATCAACACTTATCATACATCAGAGATCTCACACGGGGGAGAAGCCATATTCCTGTCCTGAGTGCGGGAAATGTTTTTCAGTGAAGTCCCTCTTTACAAACATCAAAGATCTCACACGGGGGAGAAGCCGTATTCCTGTCCTGAGTGAGGGAAATGTTTTTTCCAATATAGATCCAATCTTATTGAGCATCAGAAGATCTCACACAGGGAGAAGCCGTATTTCCTGTCCTGAGTGCGGGAAATGTTTTTCCAATCTAAATCTAAACTTAATGTGCATGAAAGATCTCACACGGGGGAGAAGCCGTATTCCTGTCTGAGTGCGGGAAATGTAGCAAAATCAAACATCTTCATACATCACATGTCTCACACGGGGGAGAAGCCGTATTCCTGGTCCTGAGTGCGGGAAATGTTTTTCATATAAGTCCTATCTTTCCAGACATCAGAGATCTCACACGGGGGAGAAGCCACTTTCCTGTCCTGAGTGAGGGAAATGTTCCTCACTGAAGTCCTGTCCTCCAGTACATCAGAGATTATACGTGGTAGACAGATCAGACCGTATTCAGTCCTTATTGGGGGGCGGAATGGCGGAATGGGGAAAGATGGGGGGAGGGCTATGGCAGATGGTAAGAAGGTTCCCATGTTACAACCAGTGGAATTGGTACCATTTGTATGAAAAAAAAAAATACACAAAATCCGTGTGAACAAGGTGTCAGTGAAGGAGGTGTCAGTGAATGAAGGAGGTATCAGGGAATGAAGGAGGAGGTCAGTGAATGAGAGAATGTAGGTGGAAGGAGGTGTCAGAGAATGGAAGTGTTTGTTCCCCAATGCCAGAAGTCTGCCCAGCACAATAGGTGAGTTGGAAGGTTTGGTGAATGAAGAGAACTAGGATTGGATTGGTATTGCTGAATCTTGGCTTCATTCCTCACATGACTGGGCCATTCATATTCCTGGCTAGGTTCTCTTTCGGGAGAGACGGGGTCATAGAAAAGGGGGTGGAGTCTGTCTGGAAAAGGAAAGGGGGTGGAGTCTGTCTAGAATAGGAAAGGGGGTGGAGTCTGTCTAGAATAGGAAAGGGGGTGGAGTCTGGAATAGGAAAGGGGGTTTAGTCTGTCTCTGTGAGAAGTGATCTCAGCGAGTGTGAGAGGACCTAGGTGATGGAGAGTGTGATGAGGCTGAAGTATTATGGGTGGAGCTGCACATGGGGGGGCGGTACTACAAAGGTCATCATTGGAGTTTGTTATAGCCTCCCAGTGTTAATGAGGAGGTGGAGACTCAGCTCCTCCCCCACAGATGGCAAGGGCGGGGACAGTGATAATAACGGGGGATGGTAACTACCTGGAAACTGACTGGAGTAATGGGACTGCAGGAACAGTTAAAGGACAAAAATGTATAAACCTACTACAGGACAATTGTATGGTTCAGTTCATAGAGGCCCCAACTAGGAATGATGCTCTGCTGGACCTGTGTCATAGAGGCCCCAACTAGGAATGATGCTCTGCTGGACCTGTGTCATAGAGGCCCCCCCAACTAGGAATGATGCTCTGCTGGACCTGTGTCATAGAGGGCCCCAACTAGGAATGATGCTCTGCTGGACCTGTGTCATAGAGGCCCCAACTAGGAATGATGCTCTGCTGGACCTGTGTCATAGAGGCCCCAACTAGGAATGATGCTCTGCTGGACCTGTGTCATAGAGGCCCCAACTAGGAATGATGCTCTGCTGGACCTGGTCATAGAGGCCCAACAACTAGGAATGATGCTCTGCTGGACCTGGTCATAGAGGCACAAGCTAGGAATGATGCTCTGCTGGACCTGTGTCATAGAGGACCCAACTAGGAATGATGCTCTGCTGGACCTGGTCATAGAGGCCCCAACTAGGAATGATGCTCTGCTGGACCTGGTCATATAGGCCCCAACTGGGAATGATGATCTGCTGGACTTGGTCAGAGAGGTCCAACTAGGAATGATGCTCTGCTGGACCTGGTCATATAGGCCCCAACTGGGAATGATGATCTGCTGGACTTGGTCAGAGAGGTCTCAACTAGGAATGATGTTCTGCTGGACCTGTATCATAGAGACCCCAACTAGGAATGATGCTCTGCTGGACCTGGTCATAGAGGTCCCAACTAGGAATGATGCTCTGCTGGACCTGGTCATAGAGGCCCCAACTAGGAATGATAGAGGCCCCAACTGGAATGATGCTCTGCTGGTCTGGTCATAGAGGCCCCAACTAGGAATGATGCTCTGCTGGACCTGGTCATAGAGGCCCCAACTAGGAATGATGCTTTGGTGGACCTGTGTCATAGAGGCCCCAACTAGGAATGATGCTCTGCTGGACCTGGTCATCTCCAACCATGCAGAGATTATTATGAATGTCCATATAGAGAACATCTGGGTAGCCGTGACCATAACATGATCTCATTTATTAGCTGTAAACAGCGAGCACATACGGGGAGAATAAAAACGCTGAACTTTAAGAGAGCTAATTCTCCAAGGCTGAGATCTGCTCTCCAAGACTTAGACTGGGAGGAATATTGGCATGGATGAACACAACACAGAAATGGGAGTTCTTCACAAAGACTGTATGACCCTGATTTACTATTGTGCCTGGGCGCATTTCTGTGGACGACCTGTGTCTACTTTTACCCCGCTAAGAGATTTACTATTGAGCAGCGCCCATAAATAGACGCCAATCGAATTTACTAAGCAGACACACACCAGGAATCAGACTCACAAAGCAGACTTGGTAAGAGGCACGTCTGACACCATGAAAGATCACTGCAGAGACCTTCACATGGAAATTTGCTTTGCCAGATATCAGGACTTCACTTCAAACAATATCTGACATTTCAAATAAAATGTAAAATGTGTTTTTTTCAGCAAATCGACACAGTGAGGAACTAGACGCTCGTGCAGCTTATTTGGCGGATATAACTGAGCATGTGCAGAACACGTTAGACGTCCTCTGTGGGCACTTGCTTTTTAGCAGCTCTTCAATAATAAATCTCAGTGTGGAGTCCTCTGACAGCCGGCACTCGGTGGCGTCTCCTGTGTGTGGAGTCCTCTGACAGCCGGCACTCGGTGGCGTCTCCTGTGTGTGGAGTCCTCTGACAGCCGACACTCGGTGGCGTCTCCTGTGTGTGGAGTCCTCTGACAGCCGGCACTCGGTGGCGTCTCCTGTGTGTGGAGTCCTCTGACAGCCGGCACTCGGTGGCGTCTCCTGTGTGTGGAGTCCTCTGACAGCCGGCACTCGGTGGCGTCTCCTGTGTGTGGAGTCCTCTGACAGCCGGCACTCGGTGGCGTCTCCTGTGTGTGGAGTCCTCTGACAGCCGGCACTCGGTGGCGTCTCCTGTGTGTGGAGTCCTCTGACAGCCGGCACTCGGTGGCGTCTCCTGTGTGTGGAGTCCTCTGACAGCCGGCACTCGGTGGCGTTTCCTGTGTGTGGAGTCCTCTGACAGCCGGCACTCGGTGGCGTCTCCTGTGTGTGGAGTCCTCTGACAGCCGGCACTCGGTGGCGTCTCCTGTGTGTGGAGTCCTCTGACAGCCGACACTCGGTGGCGTCTCCTGTGTGTGGAGTCCTCTGACAGCCGGCACTCGGTGGCGTCTCCTGTGTGTGGAGTGCTCTGACAGCCGGCACTCGGTGGCGTCTCCTGTGTGTGGAGTGCTCTGACAGCCGGCACTCGGTGGCGTCTCCTGTGTGTGGAGTCCTCTGACAGCCGGCACTCGGTGGCGTCTCCTGTGTGTGGAGTCCTCTGACAGCCGGCACTCGGTGGCGTCTCCTGTGTGTGGAGTCCTCTGACAGCCGGCACTCGGTGGCGTCTCCTGTGTGTGGAGTCCTCTGACAGCCGGCACTCGGTGGCGTCTCCTGTGTGTGGAGTCCTCTGACAGCCGACACTCGGTGGCGTCTCCTGTGTGTGGAGTCCTCTGACAGCCGGCACTCGGTGGCGTCTCCTGTGTGTGGAGTCCTCTGACAGTACCAGTGCGAACTACTGGAGGTCCCACCCACAGACTGGACTCGACATGTGGTAGGGCTGCTTGACGGAGGGGCTGCTGAAGCCTACCGAATGATGGACCCCCTCAAGAGACGGAACTATGAGGAGATAAAAAGGGCCGTACTGGACTACTCCGCGGTCTCATCGGAGTCATTTCGGGCCCAGTTCCGGACTACCCCCCGCCTCCCAGAGGCCTCCTTCAAAATGTTTGCACACAAGTTGTCGGTAGCCTGCCGCCGGTGGCTGGAAGGGGAGAAGGCAACCTCCCCTGAGCAGATCATCCAGGCCATCCTGAAGGAACAATTCCTTTTTAAGTGCCCCCCCCCCGAGCTCCGACAGTGGGTGCGTGAGCGGAAACCTGCCACCCTGGAAGAAGCTGCAGCCTTAGCGGAGGAGGCTCTCCTCAATAACCTGCAATGGAAGAAGCCTGCGGCCGAGGCACCCCAAGCGGCCAGGATGACCCATCCTACACCGGTGCCCTACATGCCTCCCGATCGCCGGATGGCCCCACAAACAGTGCCAGTGCTATGGCCCTTACTACCACCTCGTTCAGCCACCTCACAACGGGGCCCCAGACCGGCCTTAGATAGGCGATGCTTTGGCTGTGGACAGATTGGTCACTACCAGGCCAGCTGCCCCGCCAAAAAACAGAGTCTCAGGCCTAGCTTGCCCCGGCCAGTGAATTCTGTGGATCTGTACCAAGCTCCCGAGGACTTGCCACCACCCCCTTCAGACTGGGATCTCGCGCCCGCGGACAAGGACACCCCCCCATGAGTCTTTGGCCTACAGCCGGTGGGGGCCCCTACCCAGAGCCTCCAAGGAAAGCACTTGCAAGAGGTCACTGTGGATGGACAAAGGGCCGTGGGCTTCCGAGACTCAGGGGCCTTCCTCACCATTGTGGACCCCCGAGTGGTGCACCCTGACGCTGTACAGCTGGCCCTGGGATAGTGATTCAACTAGCAGGGGGCACCAAACGCTTCATCCCTCTTGTTACCGTCAATCTGGACTATGGCTTGGGGCCTAAACGCTGCAATGTGGGTGTAATGGGAGGACTGTCTGCAGATGTGCTTCTTGGGAATGATGTGGGCAATCTTCAATGCCACTTTGTGGGAGCCGTCACACGAAGTCAGGCCTGCCGGGAAACCGCTGAGAGGAAGGAGGCACCCCAGAATGTGGACGGACCTCCGCTGCCCGCAGTGAGTGACTCAACTGTGACTGCTGACAATGCTGGGGAGACATGGGACTGGGACAAGTTTCAAGGGGACTTAGCCACCGACCCTACTCTGACTGGTCCGGGGACCGACGAAAAGAGAGTGCAGGAAAATGGGTTGCTGTACCGAGTGGTGGAGACCGACGCCGAAGGGGGGCCCCAGACCGTGGCTAAACATCTGATAGTTCCCCAACAATTCCGGACCCAAATGCTACACCTTGCTCACGATATTCCCATGGCTGGGCATCAGGGAAAGCTACGGACCGAAAGGAGGTTGGCCCAGGCC